CACAGTTTCTGCAAGTTTTCATTAACATCTTCCCACAGTTTCTGCGAGTTTTCATTAACATCTTCCCACAGTTTCTGCAAGTTTTCATTAACATCTTCCCACAGTTTCTGCAAGTTTTCATTAACATCTTCTCACAGTTTCTGCAAGTTTTCATTAACATCTTTCCACAGTTTCTTCTTCCATAAATAAGAGAGTTCACTTGCATTTATACTCGTCTCGTTAGCTTTGAATATTGATACCGGTTTCATTGAACACGGAAAGGTAATAAATAGAAATACCAATCTTCTTTTACCAGATTGGGCAATTTTTGTCTACAATTATCCTGTCACATTTTCACATTTTATGTGCAAACATTTCAGATTTGAATCTCCCAACTCAATACGACTGTATAGTTAACTACAAGTCAGAAATCAAGTAATAAAAAAACATTAGCAACGTTTTATGAAATATGGACTAAATTCACGAGTTAGTTATGAGAATATATATATATACTTTTACACACAAGGCAGAATTATCCGTCTCCGGTGTCTTGACATCACATTTTTTGGAGCTAGCCGAACTAATTTCAATTAAATTTAATACAATTCAAGTGTACTTCTCAAATATCGAGTATCGGATTTTAGTGGATACGCAATCGCACGAACGATTCGAGTGCTAAGACTATTTCAGTTTTACTCCACACTACTTCCTTAGTGCTTACTGCCTGAACTCTAAAATCACCTGTTTTCAGTAAACCTGCGTGACCCAAACGCACGCCGTACCGCCATCCCCGTGATGCCAACAAAATAAATGCCAAGCGTAACGCCCTTTGCTATTTAGATATATATGAAGCACATTTCTCTCTTATTTTCTGTCTGGTGTCTTTAACTTACAGATTGTTGTGAGGATCTAACTCAACCAATATCGATTAAATTAGGTAGAGCGAGTCAGCTCGAACTCACCACCACCCCTTCTCCTTTCCTAATATATAAAGTTTAAATGGAAAAGCAATCGGACGAAGAGTCGAATCTGGAAACACTGCAGCACGGCGTACCTTTGCTGGTTGTCCGTGTTCAGTGGACTCGAACAGCAGTTTCTATTACGGTTATGCTTAAATCTGTCAGGAAACTATACTGAACACCTGCGGATCACATTACATGTTTTCCTATGGCAACCACGTTTATCTTACCACTTTCTTATAAGAACAGATTTGGGGGGAGGGGACATCCCGGTTTGCGTCTGTTTGTGCTCTATAACAAACCATGGTGAAACACAGAAGAAAGATATCCTGTGCAAATTCTACTGAGTTTAGAAAATCAAAATACTGGTAATAATTACAATTTATAAATTCAATATAGTTGGTTTGTTTCTTTGTAATTAGGCACAAAGCTACACAATGGGCTATCTGTGCTCTGCCCACCACGGGTATCGAAACCCGGTTTCTAGCGTTGTAAGTCCACAGACATGCCGCTGTGCCACTTGGGGGAAGGGGCAAATTTAGGTGCTAAAAAAATTTAGGTGGCTAAATGTATAAATATTTCTATGGATTCGAGAGTGTGTGTGTGCACATTTTGATTCTATTCCAAGAAGGAAACAAGTTTGCTTTTCGTCAAAAATATAGTTTATTTTCAACAAACTATCCCCATTAAAACAAATGTACAATATTGAGTCATCAGAAAAGGGGGTGTGTAAGCTCAGTAATTTTCAACCCTTGCAAAACACGAGTTTTACTATATAACACAAACATCACTTTAAAGAAAACTTGTGTGTGTGGACAAAATTTCGTGAATGCTTCGGTTCAGAAAAACAAAAACAAAAAAAAACAGCAAGGCCAAAAATGTAAAGATCACACAATTCAGTGCTAAAATGTTTGCACTCCTTAGATCAAGGCTGACGTACAGTGTCAAGTGGTTATCCTGGTTAAACGCAGGTTTAGACACACACACACACACACAGTGTCAGGCCGTTACCATGGTTAAATCCAGGCTCGGACCCACCATATCAGGCCGTTACCATGGTTAAACCAAGGTTCAGACCCACCGTATTAGGTTGCTGCCCTATTAAACTAAGGTTGAAACCCACCTCGTTAGACTGTTATCTCCATTATGCTTCTTATACTCACCACACACACACACACACACAATATCATCGGCAAGTCCAAAGGCTTATAACGCTACAAACCGCGTTTCGATACCTGTGGTGGGCGCAGCACATGTAGACCATTATGTAGCTTTGCGGCTAACAAGAAAAACAAACATACAATACTCACTCCATAGTCATTCTAAAATCTAAAACACACAAAGTTGCCGTTTCTTACCATACTCACTCCATAGTCATTCTAAAATCTAAAACACACACAAAGTTGCCGTTTTTTACCATACTCACTCCATAGTCATTCTAAAATCTAAAACACACACAAAGTTGCCGTTTCTTACCATACTCACTCCATAGTCATTCTAAAATCTAAGACACACAAAGTTGCCGTTTCTTACCATATTCACTCCATAGTCATTCTAAAATCTAAAACACACAAAGTTGCCGTTTCTTACCATATTCACTCCATAGTCATTCTAAAATCTAAAACACACAAAGATTGCCGTTTCTTACCATACTCACTTCATAGTCATTCTAAAATCTAAAACACACAAAGATGCCGTTTCTTACCATACTCACTCCATAGTCATTCTAAAATCTAAAACACACAAAGTTGCCGTTTCTTACCATACTGACTCCATAGTCATTCTGAAATCTAAAACAAACAAAGTTGCCGTTTCTTACTAATGCATATATCGCCAAATGTTACACTTAACTTTCACAACGTGGACAATCAAGATGGCAGACGGCACATAAAATAATAATTTCAGTTAATCTTAAATATCAAATATTATGTAATAATTTCTAAAAGATAATCCACTAAACACGTGTTGGGTAGTTTCGGAATCCCGACAGTGCATTTTAAATAACTACATTATAATTTGACTTCAACAGTAAAGTATCAGTTTGTACACGTTCAGGAAATGTTTATAAATTAACACACGTCCTATATTTATAAAATGAGTACGCACGTTGAATCTGCGAAAACATTTGGCTTAAGTTATGGAGGTGAACATGTTCATACTATGGCTTTACCTGGCTTTTTCAAATGTGAAAGAACCCATAAGGAGCAGTATAATCGCATCCAGTAAAAGAAATTAATTATCCAACTTCCAAGTAACGTTAGCGATAAATATAAATGGCTGCACCCACTGAAAGTGAAACGGCATTTCTTATCCTCCAAACTAATGTTGTACTCTCCAATAAGAAGTTCAACCTTAATGAACAACGAGACAATTGTTTTCAAATAACTAATTAACCAACAACAACAACAAAGCGATTTACGTATTGTAACAGATAAACACACACACACATGCATGCATGCATATACATATTGTTGAATATTTACGAAGTTAGTCTTACCCTACTGTTCTGACTTGACTGGTTATTTAGCGATTCGCAGAATAGCTATCACTAACCATATTACCTGGTTGAAAGTTAAGCAACCCACCTTTGATTGAAAATGATCGCTTTCAGTCAGTGATTGTGTTCGTAGTTTATGGGTTAGATATTTGATCATTGCCAACAAAGACTTTCCCCCACAAAAAAACCGAACGATGAGTTTTTGTTTTACAGGTAACAGTCTACTTCGTTCTCTCAGCACTCTTATGACCAATGCCTGTCACTTACGAGACAGAGTGTTATGGGTTTATGCATTGTTCGGACACGAGTAAACAAGATACAGAAAACACTCGTAAAACACCAGCTCTTCACAATTACAAAGAAGAACACTTAAACCTCCTTCCTTAGTTTACATCTCTTCTCTTCTCTTTGCACAATATACACTGCAGTATTCTTATCCTTACTCGACTTAATATCGCCCTACTAGAAGACGCTACCACTAAACAAAGACAACGGGTAGGGAAGGAAGTTTTGAATCTTATTATTAGTATGTTGTGAAGGTAAACAGTTTTATTACGCTATAGATAAGAAATGTGAAATTAAGATATGCGAAATTTATACAGATTTATTAATTTTTATGAACGCATTTGTGTATATTTGCCGTTTATTTTTAAATTATCACTTCCACTATCTACCCTTGAAGTGATCATGACAAGCTCGGCTGTGATTGGCTGCTGATGCATGACATCATTGAAAGCCTGTGCCGGTAGAAAAGTACCTACTATCTCATGTGCACGTCGGGCCGTATCAACTGGAAGCACGTGTGTACTGTGCATTTCCACCATTTCAATTTTTTTGCTACAATTCAGTTTTATAGCTTAGTAAACTTACTAAAATCAAAGTATGGCGACCATTTTAAAAACAGTTACGCTTTAGATATGCTAATAACTTGGACTTACCTTTACAATGGTTATATCAGCTTTCCAGTAAATAACTTATATGTGTTTTCAGTTTCGGTTTTATTACACGTTGTCAGGTTTCATAGGTTTTAAGTTTAAAAAAAAATACAAACCATCTGCTTTACTTATTAACTAAAGTAACGCAATAACGAATACCAAGTGTGCATTCTCAGAGTAACGTACACTTTCTATCAATACTGTCAATTCGAAATTTAAAATTTAGTTTAAGCATTTATTCTCAAATATGTTAAATCAACCGCTTAAGTAGGTCAATTAAACTTAGGTTATTTATAACACATTACCTTGCCAGTTTCGGTCATAAGAACGGGATAAGAATTGGTAAATACTGTTAAGAAATGTGACTGTATTCTTAATTTCTGATAAACCTGTTAATTGTTTGGACCAAATATGGCCCAGTGGTGAGCGTGTCGGCTGAATATCGAAAGAACCAAGGTTAGAACCGCTGCCAGAGAACACGCTCTTCACTTTCAACTGTGTGTGTGGGTGGGGGGGGGGGTAGCTAACCCGGACAGTCAATGCTGCATAGGTGATGGGTGATGGATTCTGCTGGTTGATTTCCTTCCCTTCTGCTCAGCAGCTCTAAATTAAAGATGGTTATACCTGAATCTTGGGGTCTTTGATCTCGTTGTTCAGTTAGTATATTGTATAAGGTGCTGATCAACTTGAAAATACCAAAAACTGTTAATTGGATCATACTTTTCAACTATAACTTGTGGTTTAAACATTTCAGTACTTTACCTTATATGAGACTGCGCGGACTTACAACGCTCGAATCCGGGTTTCGATACCCGTGGTGGGTAGAGCACAGATAGCCCATTGTGTAGCTTTGTGCTTAACTTAAAAAACAAACAAACAAACAATAAGACTGCGTTTTTATTAGTTTGACTATACATTTCTATCCAACCTATATACTTTTATATAGTCTATGACTGGACTTTTGCGAATATTGTTAAATTTTGATACAACTTTTTCAACATTTAGTCAACGCTTTAATCTTATTTTTGTCCTAAGAGACTGTAATACATATGACAAACTCTTTAAATTCTAGTTTTACTTTTGGACCCTCATCGAAACTTTGGTTATAGTAAGCTGTAATCCTCCAGATGGAAATTAACTGAGAACTTTGATTTTAACTTCTTCTGTTTGTTTGTTGAATTTCTCGCAAAGCTACTCAACAGATATCTGCGACAGCAGTCCCTAATTTTGAAGTGATAGACTAGCGGGAAGGCAGCAAGTCAACGCCACCCTCTATCATCTCTTTGACTGTCACCCTTATAACGCACATACAGTCTCAAAATGTGGAGCTTGAAGTTTTATATATATGTAAATTTGTTTTTGGCGGTAACAGGACGAGAAACGCGGAACCACAGCCCCACTTTTGGAATAATTTATAAACGTACACAAGGGCTATCTGTGCTCTGCCCACCACGGGTATCGAAACCCGGTTTCTAGCGTTGGAAGTCCGCAAACATACCGCTGTGCCACTGGGGGCCTAAACGTATGGTACCGGAGGATAACGTGTGTGTATTTGTATTGTTTGTTTGTTTGTTTG